TCGGGATAGCCAAAACTCACAAATTGATTTTATTGATTTATTTATTTGAAACACTGAAACACTGTCCAGAAACAGAATGCGGACGATGGAGTTGCAAAGTTTAATGCTTGCTATTACTCTCGCGAAGGCTCATTGTTAGCCCAAACATTTTGGACTCCTCAGATTTAAAATCAATTTGGCTAGAGGAATCCATCAACACTATACATTTTATAACCAAATTCCCAAAAATTAAAAAAGCCTGCAGAAAAATTACGATTTATCCTGTCGTCCACAAGAACCAGCAACAGCTCTATTCGCCCCATAGTTGGATGCTAAGCCAGAACCACAGCATGCAAATCTACAAGCGGAATCGTTGAGGAAACCCCCTTGTTCACGGCACCACCACCAACAGTAGAAGCTCATCAGCCAGCAACAACTAACGAACTCTTCGCGGCGGCAGAGCCAAGCGACTCTTCATCCATACTAGAACCAAGTCAAGAAATCCCCAAAACACCGCCAACTGCATTAATTCAAGAAGTTTCACAGCCACAGGTTGCTCCAACCGCTGCCCATCTCTGTCGACACCTGCCACGGCTGCCGGCTCATCCTCATCCTCATCGGCAGCGGCGTCACGTCAACTGCAGCTGCCGGCATTGTCGGCAGTTGCCGCACGGCAACAGCAGCTACTGCTGAACGGCTCTCTGAAGAGCAAGACGAAGACATTTCCTGCGTATCGAGCATCGGTGCGCAGCGAGAGCGACGACAAGGAGTACAGGGCGGCTAGCAGCAGCAGCAACACGATACCGACGACGGGCAAAAGTCGGCCAAGATCAGCGGCAAGAACTGTAACAATCTGCTGCACAACGCCGGCAATAAGCTAAGCGTGAGCAGCAACTCCTTCGGCCTATACGCAGCATCTGGCATCATCGCCCAAGAGCCCTGTCTCCAGCAACGGCCATCTGAACAAATACTGCCTGACGGACTTGACGCGCCGCAAGGCCGAATTCAATCGCCAGCTGAGCGCGCCGACAGACTACACACATCACTCGTCCAGTAACGGCTCATAGCATCGCTGGAGTGGTGGGACACAGTCATCACGGCCATCACGGGCACGTGCACGGCCAGTCATCGACGGCGCCAGCCACACTCAAGTCGCTGCAGCTGCACAACTTTGGTATGCATCATCCGATGCCAAGGCCCACGTCCACGTCGTGCACCAACAGCTTCAACAGACGCCACATACGTAGGCGCAAGAGCAAGCTTAGTAAGCGCCTGCTGAACGGCGATAGCGAAGAATCAGTACGCTGCTCATACTGCTCCGTATTGAATGTGAATGAGAACGACTTGCGGATTTCATTCGAGAACACCTGCACCGACTCGCTGGTCACCGCTGCTAATATGCGACCAAGGAACCGAAATGGTGCACTTTGATGATGTGTCGTTGTACGGCACTCCGAAAGAGGAGCCATATGCTGTGCTTTAATCTGCATTGGCTTCACTCTTTGGTGGATCATCGACGCAAAGAAGTCCGCGAAGCACTTGCGAGGAGTCGTCGCTGGAATTGGGTCGGTCGAGGACGACCTTACACTTGAGGGGGGGGTAGTTAACTTATAACACTTAGTTAGCTTATAACACTTAATGTAAGGTATTATTCAACACTTATTATCGGGTGCTAGACAAGTTAAGGAACAGCCCTGGCAAGGGCAACTCTACTTACGCCGGTGAGGCTATGATTTGTAAAAATATAGATCAGTCTCGTGTTTTAACTCGTACTGATAGGACATGCTAAAAATTGGTGTCATATAAGTAAAACTAAAAATAGTGAATATAATAAGAAAAACCAATAAAATTAACTGTTTCGATTATTCAAAAAAGAACAATTAAAAGCAGGGTTAAAAAGCGTTCTTCCAGTAAACCGCTTAAATAAATATTCACTCCGTCATTTGCTCGTTAAATGGCTTATTTCATTGTCTGAGCCCGAGGCCAGCAATAAGAGGCACAGTCGCCTCTCAACCTAACTTTCAGTCACCACAGGACTGGAAATCATATAATTTATACATATGCATGCTTTAACGAAACTCAAAACCATTCAATAATTGCATGTATGGCAGCATTACGCAAAGTCCAGTGCATATCCTAGTCATGTACAGCCGACTAGAATACACTCATTTCATCTTCGACTTGTCTTTATTAAGCCAAACAACAATTGTAAGCCAGATTTAACCATTGTGGCTCACATTTGCAAACGTGTTTAAGTTCCAGCAGTTTTCATAGCTAACTTCTTATAATCTCAGGCTAAAACTGTTTCGTCATTTTGTTATTAGGCTGGAGGGTTTTAAAGTTTTACAAATTCTAAAAATAAAGCCACACTAAGACCGCTTGTCACGGCCTAAAAGCATAGCAGAGAAACGCTTAAAATACACTATAAAAACAGAACGTATTTTACAGCACTAAATAAATTCGAATGCTACGCCGCATAAAAAATGAAGTAAAAACAAATGCCAGGCACGTTGCTCGCATTTATCAAGCGAGACACACACACACACAACAGTCATGTGTGCTAACAAGAACAACAACAATAACAATTGGCACACCTTCACGCCCATACACATACACCCAGAGTGGGAGATGAGCCTGTCGCCTGTGTTGACAAAGAGTCGAAAATTTCAGTCACGCGAAAGGATTGAAAGTCATTTGATGTATTCACTGTCATTTAAGTTGGCGAGCTGATAAAGTGACTGATAGATAGATATATACACATGTACACATACATACATATATAAATGTCGATTGATATTGAATTGAATCGATGGGGGCCTGGCCCTGCCAATAACTACAACAAGCAAACGCTTTCAACTGTATGCATATGCTGGAGTCGTAGATAAACCCAAGTTAAATGCATTTAACTGACAAGGACGTTGGCACTAGGAGTCTCTTCTTTTTTTGCCTTATTGACATGTGTCCTGGCTGCCAGACTTATCCGTTAGTTGTCGCAGCAAGTCAATTATATATACACGCACACACACCCGCATATATATATATATATATATATATATATATATGCAGTTACATGTGAGATAAAATTTAAATCTGCGCCGCCTGTTCCAGGTGGAGAACTTGTGATTTATTGAATAAATCAGTGGGGCGTTCCACTTCACAAGCTCTTCAAATATTTATCAGTGCATCTGTGCGAATGTGTGCACATGTATGTGTGTGCGTGTGGTTTTTAAATTTATGTGCGCTAGTAAATAGAATGGGCCTCCGCAGACCTGCTGAAAGCCGCAAGATGAGCCAATAAAATATATAAGATAACTGCGCGAAAAGTGTGTTAAACATTAAAGAGGCGCATTTACATTTTCCTCTTATTTTTTGACTTTCGTAAAAGAATTTATTTGCACACACTTAACAGCGTGTCTTAAAAAATCATGTGCACACAGTTGAGAAGCCAGTAAAGCATGGAAATCCATTTAAAAGCAAATATTAGATAAGAATTTCACGATAAGTTGTGTGGATTTTCATATAGTCTCCAAGGGATTTGTTGGAAGATATAAGAAGATACACGGAAACTCGCCTTAGACAGGTATTTGAAATATTCGAACTCAGCTCTATTTTTTGGCTATTTATTTTTCTATTTGTTTTAAAATGTTCATAAATTGTATTTCTAATTATAATTACATTTACGATAGTTTATAATACAATTTTGTTGTCATAATCCAATAATATCGCTGATTGTATTTTCCTGTGAGATAAGCTTAGCTAGCCCGTCGAGCATATAAAAAATTATGGCGTTGCCGTTTCTCTGTACTAAATTAGGGTATACACAATATAAATGTTTTAGCTCTAACATCTTTAGTCAATTATGTAAAGTATTTAAATAATTAATAAATAAATATGCATTTATCTGTCTTCAAAATTGACTTTTCTCTTCACATTTTAGCTGGAATGAAGATAATATTTGAGTAAATTGCATTTCATTAAAAGCCTTATACTCTCTACACCATTTGCAATAGTTTCAGGGTATTAAATCTGGGTTTAATGGAATATAAATATTGAACTTTATTTTTGTATTTCTTCCGCTAATTAAACATCAAATCTGGCATCAACAAATTGCGTAATTGATTTTAAATGAAAAATCTTCCCGTTTTTTTGTTGTTGAGCTACAAATACTTTGGATTATTTTGATTTTTGTGCCGCATACATGTTTGACCTTTTACAGCCTTTAGCTTTCAAGCTTAAGCCATTAAAAAAAAAATTAATAATAAATGTTGAAATGTTTTTTTTCCATTTGCATTTGCATTTGCCAAATCGCATAAATGTTAATTTATGCCATACAATTTAATTAACGGTAATAAGCAAAAAATAAAAATGTATTGGTCTTAAAAAAAAATCGTTAAATATATGCGCATCAATATTCTTTTTATCTTCTGCGGCTTGTTAATCATAATAATGCATTTTTTGTACCTTCAAATTTATGGAGTGCATTAATTTTGCGATTGCGATTCTGTGTGACATAACATTTAATTAATTAATTTTGCATTTGATGCAAATTGAATTTTATTTATTTATTTTTTTAATCGACGCTTTGCTTGTGATTTGCTCGTTTTCAATTGATTTCGATTGATGGGTTACAGTTGCTGACCCATGTTGACTTATTATTAATACCTATTTACACTCTGCGTCAAATTTGTCAATATTCAAATAATTGTTTGCTAATTGAATTTAATTGCTCAGATTATTTTATAGCAAGTGCATATTTTTATTGATTTGTTTATGTTTTTTCTTTTTCGGGGAACTTTGAAACTTTTTTAAAATAGTTATGACTATCATATATTTTTCTTATTAATTCAATTATAGTAACAATTATATATATTTTTTTTTAATTTTAATGTCTAATTGTTGTAAGCAAAAATCTTGAATAGTTGTGTTTTATACAGGGCATTTACTATAATCTTCTATGTACGTATATTAGTTTTCTAAGCTACTAAACTATACTGTTGCTTATTAATTTATGCATAACTTACCAATTAATATTGTGAGCAGAAAAGCTAGTTGATAAAAAACATGTAGAAACCGCATGTTGATATTTTTTCGATTTTAAGTCTGTAAGAGAGTAAAGAGAAGTAAATAAAAATACGTTAATACATCTATTACAAATATATAATAAGTTTATAATTAATAATTTTTTAGAAGATTCAATTGGCTCATAGTCGAAGCCTAACTGTAGAAGTTTTGTTAGTTTTACGCACTAAAATAAATTTCTTTACACTCAAAATTTACCAAAGTTTTTGCTCATCTGCTCTTAAAATTTGGTTACTCTACACAATATGATAATTTATTATATTTTTAGCTATTGCAACAAGCAACTCTGATATGGCAAGGTTGGCTAGTTGAAAATGCTCTCCTAGACCTAGCAGTTAAACTTTCGACAAAGAACAATAAAAACACCAACAACAAGAACAACAAAGGCAAGAAATGAGTTGCTTAATGCGTTAAACTTTTGCTGCAACACGTAACTCAAGTTAGGCTGCAGTTGCTGTTGCCCAAATGGGGTTCTATATATACCGATATATATATATATATATATATATATATATATATATATTTATATGTATATGGCCAGCTGAGCAACAGCACCTGGACAGGTGCGCCAAAAGCGAGTTTGTTGTTCTTCCACAAAATATTGAAAGCAATTTTGTAATCAAAAAGAAAAAAATAAAGCGAACGAACAAGTAGAAGAAGAAAGCTTTATAAAGTAATAACTATAAAGAAAACTGCAGCGATTTACCAAGCACCCAAAAAAACACACACACAGACGCACACACTAACACATACACACACACACTCACACATTTGAGTCAAAAAGTTTACCATTTTAGAGTGGAAACAGGGCTGAGGTTTTACTAAACGAACCACAAAATGGCTGGTTAAAAAAACGCCCAAGCGGAAGAGCTTTAGCGTCGGCTAAGCGACTAGTAGATACTCTGTAAAGAGTAAAAAACTATATTATTATAAATATATATTGTTGACAAGATTGTGATTTCCATTCTTATATTCTCCCTCTCCAGGTCTCTATTTTCCATCTCTCTCTATCTCTATCCCTCTTTAGCTCTCTCAGTCTCTAACTTTATATTGCTCTATCTCTCGACCTCTCTCACTTTTCTTTTCTTTCTCGCACTTCTCTTAATTCTTTTTCTTTTCTCTGCACCCCCATCTCTCCCTTTCTCTGCTTTTCATATTATCGATGTTATATATATCTATTATATATATCTATTTCACAAATTAACGATAACTGTAAGCCAGTCTTTTCTTCTTCTCCTTACAAGCACTTCTAATTGTTACATACCTAGGCTTAAGTGTAATATGCGCCGCGCTTATCACCTACAATCTGCATGCAAAAAAAAGAAAGTGCACTCAGTGCGTTCATATGGGAAATATTCCACATTTAAAGTTGAAAATCGGATTATAATAATCCCCTTAGGGAAGGAGTACAGAGAAACAGCTTCCTCTATCTTTCTCACTCTCTCTCTCCCTCTCTCTCACTTTCTCTCACTTCTCTCTCTCTCTCTCTCTCACACATCTTTACCCATCTGTACAGCACGCCACATGACATGTTGTAATCTTTTAAGGCAGCAAATTGTTTTAGCGCATGGCCCACATAAAAGAAGATTTCAAGTATTTTTTGGCCCATTAGGCCGTGGGCGCCTTTAATTGCTTGGGCTTCATTAACGGCGAAGAGCAGCAGAAGAAACAACTTTTTAGTTTATGCATTGACAAACTTTCGGCGCACAAAACAAAAAAAAAAAAACAAACAAAAACACATTCTAAGTGGTCAATGGGTTACGACAAGCAACAACAGCAAGAATCGAGTCTGGGTCTCTGGGCAGTGCGAGATAAGCCGCAAAACTGCAATCCAGACACAAGAATTGCGCGCAGGGCGTTAAGGGGGCTTAAGAGTGTTAAGAGGGTTAAGGGGTTAAGTTCTGGTCGCAAAAGGCGAACCGAAATTGCATGCAAGGCAAAAGCGCAGCATCCTTTTAATTGGTTTTCGGCCAAACAGTGCAAAGAATAAAAGAGAGAGAAAACTGAAGTTTTTTTTGAAGCATTTCTTTCACTTGACTTTCGAACAGCCACTTTATGCGCTTTAGTAACTATCTGAGCAGGGATCACTTTAAACTGTACCAGAGTTGAGTAACTATCATGTCTTAAACATGACATTTGATTATATATTTAATGGAATATCGATTTTAGTGAAAAATTAAGGTAAACAAAATTTAATTATGTGCACAACATTTCAGCAAAATAAATAATAATAAAATTAAAATATATGAATCTACTTAAATATATATTTTAATATTTATTTTAAATATAATTCCGACTTGCTTCACTTTCGACTACACAAAAATCTGAAATGAATTGACAAATTTTCTCTGAATATAAATGAAATGAAATGCGAAATATATAAATATATATGGAATATACATATATGTATATTAAATATAGCTGATAACTTACGAGCAAAAACATTTCATTATTAATAGGAAGATCAAATAGGTCATCTTAAAATGCTAAGTGGCCAAAATGTTATCAATTGTATATAAATTTATCAGTTAGCTAAACATATACATATATATTTATAAATCTAAAATTATATAAAATTGTACTTAAATGATTACAGTTGAGCAAGGTGCAGTCTGCCCGGGAGTTCATGAAGCACACAATCTGACTGATTAGCAATAAATAAATGATTAAAAGTTACAAATACATATTTAAATCAATATATAAAGAAGATTTGTTTATAGAAAAACAATTGCATCATCACAAAATTTATTCAAATATTTGAAGTTCTAATAATTTCTCTCAGGCCATTCTATCTAAAATATTGGCGCCTTTATCTTCGAGTTTACTACGGAAGAGCATTGGGTAGCTTATGACCATCTGCAACATACAAAGCAATTTATAAAAAGAAATCTATTTGATAAATATTAATAAAAGCCACCAGCTCGACGATCAGTTAAGCATGTCATAGTAATTCAAAGAAACCAAGAATTCTTCTAGCTATTATAGTTTAATATAGGAATTAGACATGAACTTCCACTTTATAATAAAAAAATATTAAAGATTGCCAATCTTACTTGATCAAAATGACTAAAAGAACAAACCATAAATAAGCAACTAAATTTATTTATTGCAGAGCAAAAGTTATTTAGATGTGTGCGCACACACAATAGGCTTACAAATGCTTTTGTCAGCTCATAAATATAGCATTTATTGCATAAAGATTGCAAAGACTTGACTAAAGACTCTATCTCCCTCTACAAATCTCTCTCTCTCTCTCTCTCTTTAAAGCAGTTTTTGTTTAGCCCAATTGTTCCAATTAGAAAATGTGAAGAGTTTCATGCTTCAGTAGATACATTGGCAGCACTTGGGCGCTAAATCAAAAGGTTGCTCGAGTGCTATTAAACCGCTTTTAGCATTGAGAACAAACAAGGACTTACCCGAAACACACACAAACACACAAACACACCCCACACACACACACAAGAGCACATATATATTTAGCAGACAAACTTGTGAAAATTGGTAAACAATTTATGTGGTCAAATAAAATTGCAGAAGAGCAACAAAAATTGCAAATAGCAAAAGTAGAAGAAGAAGGCGAAAAGCAGCCGCAACAAAAGCAAATTTATTGCAGCTCCACAGAACCAAAAGGCTACGATTGCAGCTAACTGGGTGAGAGTGAGTGAGTGAGAGAGAGTGCGACGTTCAAGGATATAAATTACATGCTTAGCTACTCGTGGTGCTCATATGCAAAAAGTTGTTCTCCTTTTGCTCCTTCATACTTTTTTCACAGGACTTCGGCTGCAGTTGTTGTTGCGGTTCTTGTTGCTGTTGAGATTATGAAATAAATTTCCACATGCCACAAAATTTCGCAGGCGACGGCGCTGTGCCAACCGCAGTCGAAAAATTCAGCAATAACAACAAAAATAAAGGATCAAATATTCTAGGTAGACTTTTGGTCCTTCAGCATTGCAACGGAATCCTCCTTGTTGATGCTGCACACGAGATGCAAGTAGGCAATATATATATATATATATATCGATATAGATAGAGCTGTAAAAGTGAGCTAATATGCGCGACAAGCAGATACTCTAAAAGACATGAAACAGAGTTGAAATTCTATATAATTTCAGTACTTTATATGGCATCAAATACAATGTTTTGAGAATTCTTCGAGAGCAAAGTCGATAGATAATAAACTATCTTATATATAGTTTAAACAAAATATATATACATTCTCTACATAATTATTAAGCATGACTGAATTATATAGACATGTATATAAATTCTTATAGTCTCTTCGATTGCAACTATTTTCTACTGCATAAACTCATTCTCAAATATATACCTTCATTTGTGTTGATCGATGCTTACAGGGTATCATATAGCACAACGACAAAACAACATTTTATAAATTTACATATGAAAATATTTTTCAATCGCCCAAAGGTCTGCCTGTTGTTCTATTTGGCCAAAAGAACTTTTGATATGTGGATCCCTTGGCTAAAGTTTTCACACAGAAAGTTCCACACTTGGTTCGACTACTTCTTACTCTCTCTCTCTCTCTCTATCTCTCTCTCTCTCTCTCTTATTTTTTTCTCCGTTTACGCTGGAAATTTGTAAAGTTTTTCCCATTGCCATTTTCAATATATATGTATATATATGACCAGCGATATAAAAATAAGAGCAAAGTGCAACTTGCTAAGCCTCTCTCCGAAGTTCAATGAAGTGTGCCTGGCTCTGTGTGTGTGGGTGTGTATGTGCGTGGGTGTCTTTCTCTCTTTTTCAGCTATCCGTTTTTTTACAAAAGCCATATTTGAGTATGGAAATTTTTGTTGCTTGTTATGGTAAAATTGATAACGGAGTTGCATCAATTTCATATTAATATTTACATATTGCAAGGGAATGAAAATCAAATTTTTATTATTTGAATTTAACTTGGATGAATAAATATTTTAAATATTTATTTTGATAAGTATTTCATATAATTTATAAGAAATAATAGAAGAGATAATAATAAAGCAAATGCATTGTCTTTTGCTAAAAGTATAATAAAGTATTTGATCATAAACTAAATACAAATTATAAATTTTTAAAATATATATTTCAAGCCTGAATATGTTCACAACTCTATATCGGAATAGAACAGATCAGTTGGACGATCTACTATTCATGTCTGAGCTTCTGTACGGTTCTAACATACATCAAAGAGAAAAGAATTGTTCGACGGGAAAATGCCCAAGCATAAACATGTTATTGACCGCTATCGCCTGGCATCTTCAAGTGAATTGCTGGAGAACATTCAGCTATCGACTATAGGGACTTTAATAAAACACTTGTGGTCACACCGTGAGAAATCATTGCATTATCATATCTATTGTAATGATTTCTCACTCTCTCATTTATGTAAAAATTTTAAATATATTTAATAAATATTTTTTGAAGAATTAAAAGCATATATTATTTTATAATTTAAGTATATTTAAATTCACAAATATATAAATGTATTATATATTTGCATATATAATAAATTTAATATTAGAAAAAGTCAGAAATATCATTTGCACATTTATATTATTAAAAAAATATATTTTAAATATGTTCTAAATATATTTTGAACTATAATACAATGATCAAAATAGTTGTAATATTTTCCTGAATTAAAATTGTTTTTTAAAATAGTGAAATCAGTTTGATTAAAGAAAACAAAGTAAAGTTTTGGCATATTGGCAACCTAAGAGCCTGGCTTTTTTCCACTTCTTATACAGCTTTTCAAACGAAGTAAGGGAAGAAAATAAGATAACAAATAATGCCTCAAAAATTGTTAAGATATAGAGTAATGTTAGCAAAACTCTAGAAAGAATTCTCTAATTGAGCTATTCACAAGAATTCTTTTACTTGCAAATGAAAGGAAAAAACAACATACGCCAGCTTCGTTCTCCTTCTTCTACTTCATCATCATCATCGTCTTCTGCTGCCCGTGCACTTTGAGCTCCATCAGCTGTCCCAATAAAAATTGCAGCTCTGGCAGTTGCGCTTGAGCTCACATTCACTTTATCAGCATTAAATTTCATTTTAATTAAATGCAAATTAATTACGAAACTTTATCAGGGCAGATGCAAAAAGAAGCGTAGACTTTAAGCAATATTATTGCGAAAAGGCTTGGCAATATTTCTGGAAAATATTCCCACAAGGACGCACCTTAAGCTAATTAACGCAGCTGCCTGGTAAACTGGAAAATTTTTGAAAAATCTTCGAGCATAAACCACAGCAGAAGAGCAGAGCACAGAAAACAAAAAAAAAACGGAAAAAAAACAGAAAAATGCCTGAAGTAGAAGAAGAATGCGTTGTCCTTGCAGGTGGCAGTAAAAAATTGCTGAAATTCCAGGACTGGACGCCAGGAGCCTGCTCGCAGCTCATTAAACGCTTGTCAACCCCATTTTGTCCCCTCCGCGTTGGTTGTTGTTGCTGCAGCTGATGGAGTTTTTGGTGTGCGGTGGTGGGGTGGGGCAGGATAATCCTGGTACAACTTAATGCGCCCCTTGGCCGTGCTAAATAGCTTTCATTATTTACTTTATTTTTCGCATAAAGCGCAACGATAAACAACAACAACAGCAGCAGCAACAGGAAGAAGAACTTTTGGCATTTTTATGGCCAAAAGCACAAAATGCAAGCAAAGAGAAAAAGAGACAGCAAATGACACAGACAGAAAGATAGAGGGCAAGAAAGAGAGAGAGAGAGAGAGTGAGATGTGTATATAAAGTGCATATAAATGTTATTTCACAGCGTTTCGCCTGTTTAAACTTGAATATGAAATATTTTTAGGTTTTATGCCCTATACCCATTGAAAGTATGGCAAGTGGTGTATGATAGCGGGGGAGTGACAAGTACATGTATTCATTAAAATATGTTAGAAAGGGAATTCAAAAATAAAATAACAATACTGCTTATTAGTTATTAATACACTGTATATAATCGATGGAAAAAGTTCTCGATTTAATCAAGCTTGGCATAATTCATACATAAATTTCAGAGCCAATATATATATACCTTCCATTAATGTAGAGAAGAAGTGTATTCAAAGAAAGCAGAAGAAAGTACATAAGTAAACAGCAAAGTCTAGCAAGAGAAACAAACGAGCTTCGCAAATAAATGCCGGGTAATTTTTAGTCAAGCATACCCAATCAAGCCGCCGTTACTAAAAGTAGTTTAGGGGCGCTTTAAAGGTCCCTGGCCTTAGTCGAACTATAATAAATCATGACGCATATCAATCAGTCAATCAAACATGCCCCAGAAAACTTGTCCACATATTGATTGTGCCCCACAATAACAA